TCTCTCTCTCTCTCTCTCTCTCTCTCTCTCTCTCTCTCTCTCTCTCTCTGTCTCTCTGCTCTTCTCTCTTCATTTTCCCCTCCATAATCCACTAAATAAATATCCAACCTCACTCTGCATGGTGTGCCTACTATCCATGTCTCTGTCTCTTGCCCACCACATGGCTTGCCACATAGGACCAGCTGCCTTCGGAGACGTGTCTCGTGGTGGTCTCGTGGTGTGCCCATCTGTCTGTCTCTCCTCATGGCCTGCTGCAGCCATTCAGGGAACTGCACCATCCCTGCCTGGGACTGGCTGCTCTCGGGACTCACTGTTTGCTGCCTGCTGCCACATGGCCCACTGCTGCTGCTCGGGAACCTGCAGCATTTCTATGGCTGCAGCCATCAGGGATCCGCAGCATTTTTATTTAATCCATTACATTGATGCCTTGAGACTCAAAAGGCTCCCCCACCCCAAACCCCTCTCCCGGGGTCGGGATCTGGAACCAGATTTTTTTCCCCACAACCAGTGTTCCATATGCCTGAGCGTGATTTCTAGAGTGTGATTACTATGCACACCACCGGCTTCAATTGGTGAGTTTTCCCATTATGGTCAGCTTAACCATTTCTTCGAACCCAAGGAATTGACTGGTGAACTCCTGGCAATCTCTGGTGCTCCTAGAAATGGGGGAACAGCCCCCAACCACGGACAGTTGAACCCTTCACTGACATTCATTTCTGGATTGCTTCCCTTAGCTAAAATCTTGACTGGAATGACCCGGGGTCAGTCCTCCCATGCTAGCACTGCTCACTCTGTGTGGTGCATTCTACTGGGGGCCCAGGGTCCCTCAGTTTTTCTTTCTCTTTTTTTTCTTTTTCTTTTCTTTTTCCCCCTGCCATGAAAGGCCACTCTGAGAGGCCTCTGGCCTTTATGGCTTCCGAGTCGCCCTGACTGAATCCAGTCAGACTGTAGCACATCATCCAGAGGCAGAATACACTCTCCCATGGGTTCTGCAGTGTTTGTACTGATTTACACCCCGCCTATAGGAGGAGACAGTTTGTTATAGGCTTGTGGTGTCTCCGTTTCATGGGTTTTCATGGTTTTAGCTATGGGTAGCAAGCCATCCATGTCTGTCCCCCTGGGATGGAAGCCTTTTAGAGGCCACAGGCCTTAATGCCCTCTTTCAGCTCATACCTTCACTTGGCCGGTGTCCTGCTGGCTCCATTTTTATGGGAGCTTTCTGACTACTGTCAGCACACAGGTAAATGGAAGGAGTTCCCTCAAACTGTCCCTCCCACTACTGCTGCCACAAGGAAGCTGTTTTCAATTCCAGCCTTTTCCTTCCCGCCATGACTTGTGACATGGTGGCTCAGAGACTGGGTGGATCATGCCTTTAGGTCTCTTATTATTAACCTTAAATTCCCTGCAGCTCAAAATTACGGCTTTTCCATACAACATGTGACTGCTGTCATTTTGACTGAGGTCAGGTGACCTTACCATCATCTTAAATGAGGTCAAGTGACTTCACCATCATCTTAACTATGTGGCTTTTCCATAAAACATGTGACCACTGTCATTTTGCGCGAGATCAGGTGATCTTACCACCATCTTAGCTGAGGTCAGGTGACTTCACCTCTATCTTAACTAATAGCCAGGTCAGGAGACCAAGTTCTGCCATCTTTACTGAGTTATACCCTGCCTGGTCCCCTGGTTTACTTATGTTTTTGTTTCTAAATTTCTCTTGTTGACTCTGTTGCGTGTGTGTTTTGTCAGGTCCACCAAGAGCATCTACTTTGCCCAATTCCTGTTCACTCTGTGTATGTGTTCATACATGTAACTTAAATGCACCTATGTTTACTGTTAAATGATATAATTGTCTGTTCATTGCATCTCATTTCAGACTACAAAATTTTTTTAAACTGGTATGTACTTTTAAGTCTCTTACAAAAATACTTTATATTTAATTCAACCCTCATTTAAAATATATTAAGATGTTTTCTAGATTGTCAGTTCTGCCGTTAACCTACTGCAAGCAGTTTTTTTCTTCTTTCTGTCTTTTTACGAGTGTAAATCTTACCTGTTAAGAGCCAGTACAGTCAAGCTCAGACCCAACTCTCCGGGCAGATTCTATACTGTAGTTTTACCTGATAAATAGCCCTCAACTGCTCAGAGATCTGGGGAATATGGCATTTAAATATTTAATTATCAAAAAGCTTTTCATAATAAAAAGAGACAGGTTGGCTCCTAGCAGCAGCGCTCTACTCCCTCCAAAAAAGACAAAAGACAAATGGGGACTTACTGCCAGTCATTCCAGTGCCCCCTGGGTCCCTCCAGCCTCTCCAAAGCATGCCCTAGTTCTCCCAGTCTCTTATGGAGTGAACGACCTGACCCTTCCATAACAGTATCTC